AGCAATAAACTCAATATGTCGCTGGAGGTAAATGCCACGAAGCTAAATATTACTGGCATGAATACACTGAGAAAAAAATGAAGAACAGACATTTGTCACTGTCAGCCATCTCATCTTTCTCGCTCTGCCACTAATGTGGATTCACTGCCAGCAGCTATCACTGCCAGACAATAGCGTGGCTGCTGTTGCCGCTCGAAGCTAAGCTCACAAGAATTTGCAGTATTTGAAGGTACACGGCGAAGCAAATTAAGTTAGCAGTGAGTCTATCTACCGCTCAAGGCTTTTACACATCAATGTGATCTGTCCATTCATCCATTTTCTTTCACTTATCCGGGGTTGAGTCATGGAGGCAGATGTTCCTCTCCCCACCAATGCTTTCCAGCTCTTCCTGGGGGATCCTGAGGCGTTCCCAGGTCAGATGGTGGGTTCTGGGTCTACCCCATGGTCTCCTCCCAGGTGGATGTGCTTGGAAAACCTCCAAAGGAAGTCTCTCAGGAAACTTTCAAATCAGATGTCTGAACCACCTCAACTGGCTCCTTTAGCAGCAACTCTACTCTGAGCTCCCTCCAGATGTCAGAGTTCCTCATCTTCTCTCTGAAGCTGAACTCAGCCACCCTACGGAGGAAACTCATTTTGGCTGTTTGTACCCACGATCTCAATCTTTTCAGTCACTACCCAGAGGTGAGGGTTCGGACGTAAATGAACTGGTAAATCGTCTTCCATCTTAGGTCCCTCTTCACCATGATAGTCTGGTACCGCCTTACTGCTGATGCTGCACCAAGTCGTCCATCTCAATCTGGAATAGACTCCAGCAACCATGCGATCCTCCATAAGATTAAATGTAGTGTACAGAAATGGATGTTTTTTTTTTTTTGGTGCTCCAAAACCACAGATGAGCAGTGAAGGGATTCAGGAGCAATTGCAAATCCTGAATGACCATGGAACTTTCAATGGTAAACACATGACTATCATGACACCACCATCCTCTGGCTTAGTGTAGCTACACCTTGTTAAACTTAGATGCAAGGTGCAATGGCGAAGTGAAGGATTGTATTTTCAGGGGTCTTTTGAACAGAAAACAGCCGCTTCCAATAACCCAACTGTGATGATGCATATGAGGCAATCCTGCTGAAGGAAGACTTCCTTAAGCACTACCCAAGCCAGGATCTTCTTGACACACATCTACCTGCTGCCAGAGACTGCAGACAAGACCTGGCCTGCTGCACACTGCGAGTATGGCGACGCCTTCCATGCAGGTTCCTGTGATTGAGAGTACCGGTTCTAGCTTTGGCTGCACTGCCACGATGCACTAACGCAGAACATGCTGTCAGAACTCCAAACTTAAACCAGTTTTGTGGAGTTTTTATCATTACTTTAAATTGCTTAAACGAATGGACGACTACAATAAATTATCTAATCATTAGGGGTGCTCTAAACCCAGAGTCAATCATGGGAAATTTTAACTGTTCAGAATCTGTATAAACCTACAACCGATTCCCTGTTTACCAGTTCTGCACAGTCATAAATATAAACCACAAAAACTGACATCTTAAGGTTTCACTGAAATTCAAAAATGCAACCCGATATCATTCCTACCTTACTAACCACCTGTTTGCTTGCCTCATAGAAGTCTTTTACTACAGCGCTCATTTACTAGAAAACTCAACAACGCTCTCTGGTTGCTACAGTATTAAACAGTAGCAGACTCCACCTGGTGGCAGAATCAGGTATTACAGCTAATCTTCATTCCTGGCTGTTGGTTTTAATGCAATAAGGTATTATGAGGCACCAACAAGGTTAAAAGAGAGGAGCTGGAAATGGATATTATATACGAGGAGATCATTCAAACAAATGTATTATATAGCCAGATATCTGGTTGGCTGCACTGTGCTTATTATTTGACTTATACTTAAAATAGCAATCTTTCAGTTTTTGACTTTGATTTTTGCAGATCTGCTGATAACTAAACGCTGGCCCATAACACCTTTTGTTGACACTTACAAGCGGGCCTTAACAACTTATCTTTTTTTTCCCCAAAAGTGTCACATAATGTTAGCAACAGCAGATGTGATGACAAAACTAAACATGGACATAATATGCAAATCAACTTTTGTGACCAATTCAACAAAGGGCTGATTGAATTAAAAAAAACAAAAATAAATGTAACGTCATTGTTTACTGCTCGGTTCAGGTGCTGCTTTTGCACTATTTCAACTGACAGAAACAGAATTGAAAACCGCTACTTGCTAGCATAGCTGTTGTGGCTCTGTTACTGCTGCCCCTTCCTTCATTGTTGTGTTTGCTTCTTTATGTAAATTGCAGTGTGACGTCGCCGGTCGCCGATTGGGCCAGGGTAGATGGGCGGAGACAAGCCAATCACTCAGGACCCAATGAGACGTTCCAGCTGGTGACGGCGGCCGATTTAGTTTGGAGCAGCCCGGTTGGCGGGGTGGCTGTACCAGTGCCTCGTTCTCTCGGGAGAATGTTGTTTTGTGTTGAAGCACTTCGTCCAAAAAGCTGTTGTGGGACAGGGCTAGTTAAGAGGATTCCTATTTATCCCCATTTAGGAAGGTGCTGCTCTGGGTACTTTGATTTTGAACATTTTTATTATTCTGCTGAACTCGGTTTTACTTTGTTTTGTCAGTCACAAGTTAGTTCTATAAGCTCTTTTGTCTGTTTGTTAAAGTTATGCCCTGTTGTCTCAGTTTGTTATTTTTGGTAAGCTCTATTAAATAACTGTTGTTTTTAAACTAGCTACATCTGCTTTTGTTGCGTCCCGTTTCCCTTTCACGTGCTGGGTTGTAACAGGCCCTGAGCTGTTACTGAAAAGGTTAACGAGGTCATCATGACGTCACCGGTTTGTGGACGACTGCTGTGAATCACTGAGTTTGGAATTTGGCCGTCACCATCTTGCTCTTTTAAAACAATGCAATGGACAAGGGTTGGACCTGACTCGAAACACAAAAGGACAACGTAGTCACGCCCTAAAACGCGCCCTGCTTTATCATCTTTTTTTTTTTTTTTTCTTCCTCTAAATGGGACGTAGAGATTGAGACTACAAACCTGTTGGGGAAATGTTTACTGAGGTAACAAATCGCGTGAGATGCAGAATCATTTTTCTATACAGTCAAACATCTTTTCAAAACCGGTGGAGTCGTCTCCTGCTGGCCGTTAGAAATAACGCAGCTTTAAGTCAGGCGATGTGCTTTATGTTCTAAAACCAGCCGCTGTTGTGACTCGACTGGCTACAGCTAACATCCTATACTGGTTTGGTGTTGTTGGGAATCTTTGGCCTAAACAGGATTTAAGTCAATGCCAGTCTGCAGAAGAAGTTTACCCCCTGGCTGCACCCTGTGTTTTGACTTTAGGACACGATTGCATACACAAAGCTGCAGCCTGTAGCCAGCGGAGGTAGATCTGGGCGTGGTGGAGCATCACGCCGGGCAGCGCGGCCACTTCTAAGCCTTGGTGTGTTGTTGATACTGAGAGCAGAGTCCGCTCGTGGCACATTTTAGGGTTTTGGGTGAAATCCTTGTAGATCTCTGGCGCTTTCGGAGACGGATTCATGTGTTTGTGTAGTGTATACTCCTGCTTGAAGCGAGCTCGCTGACATCAACGCGTGCACACAGCTTATTCTCACATAATTACTAATGTCTCACTCTGTCGTTGTGCTTCGGTTTCCGTGGACATCACAGCCATTTTCTCTCCCTGTGAATACGTTTTTGTAAGAGTAACAATGATTGAATCTGCTGTTTTCATCCCACACGCAGACGGTTTGTTTGATTTCCTCCTGCCGGTGTTGCCCGTTGGATGCTGTGAAAAACTATCACGTTGCCTTTCAGCCTAACTAAACTCTATTAAGAAATACTACAGGTTTACAGACTCCAAGCTAGACTTAGACCAGGCTTTGCTCTTAATCACTCAGCCTCCTCGTTGTGGATGTAACGTGATTTGTACAAGTGGAAACTTTTCTCCTGTTTGCTTTTTGTGTGTGTGTGTCATTACCATGGTGACGAATCGGGTTCGAAAGTAATTTTCCTCCGAACAGCGAGAGTTAAAACTGCTTTTTTCTCTCTCCAAAGAATAGAGAAAATACTTGAGACTTTTAAAATATCTTGTTCCTAAATGCTCGACAACCTGGAACGGTGGAACAGTTTAGAGCAGCTTTATATAACATTAATTTTCACATTACATCAACCGAATTCTGTTTTCCGATGTAGTTATTCAAGTTAAACAACACAAATTGAAATATTGTGATTCCGCTTTAGCTTTTATTCAAGTTGACCAATTCAAATAATTCAAATTTGATTGAAGTGACGCACATTTCTGACTAAAATCTTGTTCTTATATACACCTAAAGTTTATTGTAGGTTAACTGTGGGCTGTTTTTTATTTTCTCCCCCCCAGGCATGGGAGAAGCCTGGGCCCCAAGTCCACACATGTAAAGAAGGAAAAGCCTTTAAAAAAAAACAAGCCTTGATAAACTGAAGCCTAAATTACTCCCAACATGGATCTCCAACAGCACCCTGGTCTGCATTTGCATCTGAACAGGCAGGCAGCACCTAAAGCTGATCACTCCTGATCTCTTTACGCACAGTTGGTTGCTTAAATCTTTATCTTATCTTTTTATGGTAACTCTTCAATATATGTCGAAGAAAGTTAAAAGAGTTGTTTTTTTTTGTTTTTTCAACTGAGTCTCGCCAACTGTTTATGTGCTCTGGTGCATGCCCGAGAAGAGGCTTACTGGAGGTTTTTGCGGGGAGAAGCAGGGAGCCAGACAGGCGACAGTCAGCGCTGTCTTGGCCTCAGGGCAGAGGCAGGGAGCGAGCAGGCGAGCCAATGAGAAGGAGACATCCACTCCTCTCTGTCCTGCCCGGCTTGGCTCAGCTCGGCGCGCCCTGTAATTAGGAGCTCTAGTTGGGTTGGGCGCCGCCACGGTGGACAGCCTGGCTGCTGCGTCAAGGGAGTTTGGGAACGCCAGCTCCAGACTGTGCGTGGATTTCTGAGCACTCCTGCATCAGAGATCAGAGCAAGCACTAGAAAGACTTTTTTTTTAAAAATCAACAACAACAACCTGAAAATGAACGGGCAGCCTTCACCTGTCTTTGAGGAAAAGAAACCTTCCCTCCCCGTGGCTGGGAGCTCCATCTCGGCTACCAAGGATTCCCCGACCCTGCCGGAGTCCTCCTCCACAGACATGGGCTTCTACAGCAGCCAGAGTGCGCTCCACGGCTCGCAGGATTTCTACTCGGCGCAGCAGTCGTACTCTGCTCAACACATGAACCCGTACGCGTACCACCACTACAACCTGAACGGGATGGGTGCCGGCGGCGCGTATTCCGTTGGTAAGGCCGAGTACCCGTACCCGCATGCGGCGTACAGAGAGCACGGTGCGTTCAGCAGAGAGGTGCAGTCAACGCTCCAGGACAGTGGTGAGTGAACCCAGCAAGTCCGCAGATGACTGCATATGTTGGACACGTTTAAAGACAAAATATGTGTCTCCAGAGTTAACACACAGAGACGCACTGCTGCCTCCCTCCAGCAGTGCTGTGTAAGAGCTTCTCCATCTTTGTCCAAAGCCGCTGTAACCACCTGAGGCTGATGTATGGCAAGAGCTCACGTCTAGTCACATAAACCCAATAATTGCGCATGAGTTTTACGCACCGGGGGATTTGGCGTTAGTTTTATTTTCTAGAGTTTCACTGCATCTAAACTCACATTTCATACATGTTTTGGAGCATTCAGTTGTTTCTCTGTTAATTTTGAGCTTATAAATCTGTCATTAGATGCTGAATAGTAAAGGTAAGGTGTAAGGTGCAAAATGGCTAAATTAAAAGAGACACGAAGAGATGCACTCATTTCCTAAATAAAAATAGATAAGTCCCACACATTATAAAGCCAAATAGCTGGAAGAAATAGTGTCACTAGCAAGTAAAACTATATCCAACAAAAAACAAATTAACCACGTTAAAGTGTAGCTGCAGAAGTAGATTTAAATTACATTTATTTTTCATGGAAAACACCCAAATTCTTATTGTTTTTAACTTTAAAAGAGTAAAAAGAACCTTTTTAAAAAAAGAAATGTGGGCTTTCTAGATTGTAAATGAAATATATTAAGAGTTAAAGTAAAGTTTGTCAGGGATGTCACAGGTTAGAATGTTGGTGAAATTTGTTGGATAAGGATTCATCAAGTCCATGACATGAAGGGCCGCCTTCACCTGAAAATGTTTATTCACAAAAAAAGCAAAAACAACCGGTTTGCCATCTCCTCTTTGAGCTTGTTTCAGATTTTATTTCGTGAGGACGATGGCGATCAGCCTGAAGGGCTTTTGGACGGAAGCCACGGCTCGATGTACTCAGTGACTTTTCAACTTAACCCGTATCTGCTCTCAAGAACTAGTTTATTAACTCGCAACTGGTTCATTAGGTAACCTAACCAGCTGGCGCCAACGCAAATAAACAAACAGTGCACGCATGCTGGAATAAAACATGATGTTATTCGGGACTATCAGAAGTTACGCTGGTGCCACATGGTCACTATAAACTCACTCAGATTACAGAGCATCAAGCTCAACGTTTTGAACAACAAACATAATTCTGGCCCTTTAACTTCCCCTCTGAGTGCAGCCAGTGTGCGTTCAAAAGCCTTTTTCTTTTTGGCTCTGCTTGGAGCTTGGAAGGTGTCTCGGTGCAAACTACAGAGGAAGAACAAACTCAACAGACTGGTGTTCTGTTTTTGACATTCCAGTTGGGAGTTGACTCCTGGAAATGGCCCCGGGGGACTTTGGCCCACAGCCACGCACATCAGGTGTCACGGCATGTCAGTCAGCCTTGGCCTTTGACTCATCCGACAAGGACGGTTCCTTATCACGCAAGGCCCGCGGGCACGCCCGAACAAACAAACAAATAAACAATACGTAAACAGGCGAAGGGTTTCATTTGCCATCAATAATGACATTTTGCGATCAAGTGAAAACCGGGTGACTAATGTGAAAAATGTATAAAATAATAAATATTCAAGGAAAACACGAACTGAAGGCCTCCATTAGAACATATATTACTATTAAATGAACTTCCCGCACATTCTTTGAGTGATTTCATTCCTCAGCATAAATGTTTAAAAGCTGTTTCAAATTAAAATCCTAAATACTACATATAAAACACTTCTTATGATATGTTCAGATATATAATGAGTCTAAAATGATGAGCTTTAAATAGTTTAATAGTGTAGAATAAACCTCTTTAGAGGCCCAGAGAAATGCTAAATACATTATTTATAAATTTATATTATGTAATTCCTTTTAAAAAATGCCCACACACAGAGTAAAATGTAAAAATTGTATTAATTATATTTCATTAATTATAGTCGTTTTGAATAGCTGTAAGTCAAATTTGTTCAAATATAAATGAAAATATGTAATTATTTGCTCATGCTTTTAATTTGTAAATCAGTGTATATAAATGTGTAGGTTTCCAGATTAAAGATATAAAACAACAAACGTGTCGATCAAATGCAAACAAATATATTTAAGCCAGATCGGTGGAATATTTACGGAAAGACAAATAAAAAAAAAAAATCAAACGCCAGAATAGCAGCACCAATGGGGAGCGATGTATACAAGCGGGCCTCCAGGCTACATGAAAGACACCAATAAATCTCTGTCTCCCTCCCCAGCTGTGGGAGACACTCTGACCAAAATTATAAGTTCAGCGCGCTGGCGGAATTTCTTTGAAATTTCGGGGTTGCAGCAGCCGCGGCTATTTTTGTGCCACAACTTCTCTGCACAAAACTGCTGAAGAGAGCGAACGAGAGAGCTGATACGAGTTTGTGTCGTCGTGCGATGAAAGAAAAGTGTGAAAAAGTCTCACGCAGGTTGTGTTGCAGTTTGAAAGATGAAAGGAAGGCGACGGCGGTATGAAGCTGTCACTCCGAGCCAAGCAAGAGCGTTACATAACTGTTCCTGCTTCCTTTTCCAAAGTGAAAGAAGAACCAGACGTGGAAGTCCGGATGGTCAACGGGAAGCCCAAGAAGGTGCGCAAGCCCCGGACCATCTATTCCAGCTACCAGCTGGCTGTCCTGCAGAGGAGATTCCAGTCAGCCCAGTACCTGGCCCTGCCGGAGCGGGCCGAGCTGGCTGCCCAGCTGGGCCTCACGCAGACGCAGGTGAGGCGGCAGGAAGCATCCAGTGGTGCTCGCCAAGATGTTTACTGAGAGTTGCAGCTGAAGCAAAGTGGAATCGATGAAAAGCATTTGAGATTTTAATTTCCAGTTTGTACCTGAGCGGTGAACTCAAATTTGAACACTGAGGCCTTGATCATACTCCCATACGTGTGTGTGCACAGTTGTTGTTTTATGCTACTGTCTAGTCTGTTGTATGTAGGTGGCCGTCTGTCTATTCTACACTACAGCGCTTGTAATGTCGCCGCGGACACAGATTTGAGTCTGCATGCAGATTTCTGCAGAGACGTCTCTGGCAGGCTTGGAAAGATGACAACATTTTCATCCCCTCACATACTCTGAAAGTTCACCACCGGCTTAAGCTGAAAGCAGCTGAAGCACCATCTAAAGTGTAGGACCAGTGTGATGCTTCGTAGGCGTGACGTAAGACAGTTTGCAACTACGCTACCAGTGCAACATGCTCTGGTGGAAGAAAGAGGAATGCTCTACTGCATGCAACAGGTGGAAAAGTATTGTATTGACAATTACTGCACGTCCACACCGACGATAAGCTAAACTTAAGCGACGGACGAAATCGGTTGGAATGTTAGCTGAAGCGGAATCGTCAGAAAATAGTGTCAGATGGCCTGCAAGGTTTAAAAAGTTAGCTTGGATGTTTGCGCTGTTAGCAGAAATTTAAAAATACGTTGTTGGTTAAAAGGCTAAAAAAAAAAAAAAAAGAGAGATGAGAAAGTTGAGCTTGTCTGAAAATGAATTGAACAAATCACTGAACAACTATGAAAGGTGCGGGAAGTATATAACACCACATCGACCGCTAGTTAGATAGACAGAATAAAACGCAGTAGCATGCTAATAGATGTGTCTGAATGTCATGTGTTGGCAGAGCCGTGAGTTGTCGCCGTTCCGTCTGTCGGGTTTTTGCCGTCACAACCTTTAGGCCATAATGATTTACTGCCGCATGAGTTATCTCTGCATGAGTGATAAAAGACAAAACTTGAGGCGCAGGTTGTTTTATCGCGGCTGCTGTAAATCATTGTTCGGCGCTACGCTTGAGCAACATTCACAGGCTTAAAGAAAACAAATGCAATCCCACTGAGCTTTAAACATGAGGAAGTTTGGTTTGCTGCTGTCTTGCATTAGAAATAGTTTTTGTTTTTATTTATTTATTTACAAATAAGACCAGTAAAGTAGATCCTACAGTGTTGCATAATCTTTATAAATGTTGCCTTATGTACAATTACAACAAAAAAAGGCTTTTGAAACATTAAGTTACTTGAAGCAAACCAACAAGCCATCAAAGTTTTCTTTAAAGCTGCATTTAAAGCTTTTTTTTTTGTTAGCACTTGTTAGCAACAGAACATGCTAAAAAGACGACACTGACACATTTGGAGTTTGTGGCATTTCCTTTAGCTCTGCAAACGACGACAACAATTCCCGAGTTACGTTTCCGAATTTTTGGCAGCGACACGCTCCACTGTCTTCACCAGCTGGCCGCTAACGCTGGTATTTGGTTAAACCAGATGCATGTCAGCATCAGAGTTTTTTATTCTTAAACCAGCTGTCAGCTTTGAGTAGAAACAAGGCAGTGAATATTAATGCATATTGAGAGATAATTGAGACAATTAGCAAAAAATGAAATGCTAAAAAGGCATATTTAGCTGTTTTTTGTTTGTTTTTTAATCTTAAAAGTGCTCAAATGTGTCACTGTTTCCAACCTATGCTAAGCTAACAGTTAGCTGAGTTGGTGTCCAAACAGTCGTATCAGTTTTCTCATCAAACTCTACGGGCTGACAACTTGATGCTAGCTTAGCGGCTACTAGCATGATGGGTAATCTCCCAAAATGTCAAACTATTCCTCTAATAGTTCGAATCCCCCAACGTTGAACGTAGCCTTGAATGCTAATTCTGCTAAAAAAAAAAACCCAGAACATTCTGTGCTTCTCGGTATAAACGAGAAACCCGGACTGACTCAGTAGCAACAAAACTAAATTTCAGGGACTATTCGATTGAACTGCAGGCTGTGTTTAAGCAGAGCGGATAGAAGAAAGTTTTAAATCATCTGTTGTATGTAGACGACTGTTTCTTCTAGTATTGGCAGCACCTGTGGGCATTTTGAAAAATGTTGTACGTGATGATTTCAGTTTTTTGTAAATGTAATAATGAAAGCTAGCCAATGTTTATTTTTTTCTTTTTATGACATATGGCATTATAACAGGGTTATACTGCACAAATGAGAATTTTGAGCTCTCTGTCCTTCTGGTCGTGGTTGTGCTGTTTCCATAGACACTATATACTGCAGTGGCAAATGTGCCCAAAGTGGATAAAAATGTGACGGTAGCAAAAAACAGCTAGAAACTGTTTGGGGTTTAGACGTTTAATGTGGTTATAATAAGTCCAGGTGGTCTTCACAGGTTGTTTCGTTGCCCCCGAGTGGCCAAAAATCACTTTATGTCACTTTAAGCTGCTTCAACATTTTGTCCTCGTTCTTCCATCCAGGTCAAAATCTGGTTCCAGAACCGTCGCTCCAAGTTCAAGAAGCTCTACAAGAACGGAGAGTTTCCACTCGGGGAGATTCCTCTGGAGCACAGTCCAGACGCCAGCGATTCCATGGCCTGCAACTCTCCCCCGTCGCCAACTGCGTGGGAAAACAACAGCAACGGCAACAACAACAACAACGACAACAACAGCAGCAGCAGCAACAGCAACAACACAAACGGCAGCGGCAACATCAAGAGCAATGCCATGCTGGATCCTGCCAGCAGGGGGCAGGCTCCCTATCCGCCGCCGGCGCCGGTGGTGGAGTCCTCGACCTCCTTCATGGGGGAGTACACGCACCAGAACTGGTACCAGCAGCAGGGCGTGCATTTAGGCCTGCCGCAGTCGGGCCAAACGCACCACGCAACAGCGAACGCGCCGTCGGCCACACAGAGCATGGGAGCCGTCTACTGACGCACAAACTCTGAACAGCGCTTCCACCGGAGCCTCAAACACCAGGTGATGATTCGGAGCTCTGCTGTGACCAGAAACACCTGACAGCGATCATCAGACACGAGTCATGACTGTAAAAAACCTGACACACATGTTGTAAAACAGGCTACAAATGTGGATTGAAAACAAATGTCGTCCTCAGTTACCCTCGCTGCTCCCGGGTTGAACTCGTAACCAGGCGGAGATTTGGGTGATTGAAGTGGATTTTTTTTTTTTTTCCCAGAGACTGATATTTTTTTTTTATGTGAAACCACTGATAACAGATAATATTTTGTATATTTAATATTTGAAATATGACCATATTTATTCCAAAAACAAACATAGAATTATTTAGTCTTAAAATGTTCTTTTTTTTTTTTTTTTTTGGAAAGGGCTTCTTGACAGAGAATTTTAAAAACTGAATACTACTGAAAGTCTCCCAGCAAATCCAAGCCCACCGCACCAGCAGGGAAACGCATTTAGGACTTTCAATATACAGAATGTCGCCGCGGTCAGATGCCATGTCAGCGGCGCAACATTTAGCCCAGCAGAGGAGACGGATCCTGTAGTGTTGAAGTAGAATTTACAAAAAAAACATATTCGCTTAATTCATTTTTCCACTGGAGGAGAACGCTGAGCAACACAAGCAAACAGGTGGTATCAGTTTTCTGGAGCAGATAAAAGTAGTGTGCTCAAGACAGGAGATCAAGGCTCTTGGCTTGGAGGTAAGGCCGGGATTAAAAATTGGAATTTGTAACCTTCGGATGGAGCCACGCTGGCTGGTTTATCCCTGCTTGCTTGTGCTAAGCTAAGCTAAGCGGCTGTCAGCACCCTCGTCAGAATCTCCCCATGTTTGCTTGTGGCTACTAGCATTAAAAACTACGGCCAAACTGTGACTGTTTGAGTTGCATTATGGGTAATGTACACAGAATGCAAGGAACGAAAGGGACAAATCCCTTCTTCTGCAGCATTATAACATGATTTTGACAGTTTTTGATGAGACAAACTGTTGTAGTTTTGCAAGATTTGTGCGTCCAAATTAAACACGAAGACATTCAACTAGCAGGCGACAAGCAGATGGTATCTTCCTGATGGCGTCGTTTGCAGCAGTTTGGTTTGGCCGCATAAAGGACAAAAAGAAGCATGGAAGGGAAGCATTACAACCAACCTGTTGAGAGGGACAAAATAGGGTTAAACAATTTGTCGATGCACCAAGCAAATCACGAGGGAAAGCTGTTGGGTCAATGGTTTACGAATTCGTGCCATCCTCCTTGTGCCACAGTCGTCCGTTTGATGGTGACAACATTCAGTAAAGATATTAGCTACAACATTACAGACGTTGGCAGCAGTTCGGGATCGAGCCTGATGAAGTTGAAATGCTTCATAGAGGAGTTACATCAAACATCCAAGACTTTATTCTGTTAATCCTCGTGTTTATTCGCCTGCATCGACACAAAAAAGTCTGCCGACGCCGAAGGTCGAATCAACAATAATCCTACAATTCCCATAATGCACCTTTTAATCGCGACTTTGAATCGCTCCCTGGCTTTCTGGTGTATATATATTTGGAAAGGCAGATAAACTGATAGCATCGACGGAGCCATTTCCTCAGAAGCTTCCTTAGAAAACATTATACAGCAGTCCTCCCCCCAGCAGTGGAAATTAAACTCTTTGAGCTCGGAGACGCTACAGGGGCTCTCAAAAAAACAACAAAAAAAAAAAAAAGAAGGAACTATCAAGAGCAAAGTTTTCGAGTCGGTGCTAAAATATTTGAAAGTTGTAAATATATATATATATTTTATTAACACACGTGCTGTACTCAGGATTCTTATTATTTATAGTGTCGACTGTAGATATAAACAGCTGTTTGTGCCTTATGGAGCTTTTTTTTTTCCCCTCTCGAAAATGAGTACAAAAAAAAAAAATCAAATAAAACGTATTTTGTGTATTGCAACTACTTCCTTGTTTACAGGTAAATGCGGCACACACGGAACACAAAAGGCCGTTGTGCTGACGGTGCTTTCCTGGCGTGCCTGCCTCCCAGTGAGTCAGCCGGCAGATACAGGTTGCTGCGCCCGTCCACACCGTGTATTTTACACACACATGCAGAGTAGTGGCGTGTAAAGGAGGTTGTGGGAGGTGACGGCGCTGCAGACACTCTGGAGTCTCTGGATGCTAATAACACACCGCTGACACTGAGAGACGGCTGTACGCTGCTTTCATGTGGCTCACAGTTGGAAAAGGGGAGGAGAGATGTGTGTGTGTGTGTGTGTGTGTGTGTGTGTGTGTCTATGGCAAACAAGCTGCTCTCAACCAACCAAACCCGCAGGTTAGCCAACAAAAAGAGGGCGTGACGAGGAAGGAAAAAAAAAAAACACGGGCAGGCACACTTTCAAACAATGTTACCGGGACTTATAATACCTAAAATATTCCTTTGTGTCCTCGTGTGAACGTTTTCTGCTTTGGGACATTGCTCGGCGTTTCGGGGCGAACTCGCCGAGAGTTCGACGAGAAAGGTCGACGTCGTTCGCGCCATCGTTTGGCGAATATGAAACTGGCAATTAGCGCGAAGAATGAGTCGGCCGCTGCAACCGAAAACCTTTCTGTGGGGCCGTTGTCGAGGCTAGTTGGCTTCGGTTTCTTATCTTCCCTATATTTTTGCTAAACGTATAGATATTTTTGTTGTTTAAAATAGCCCAGGAGATGATAATTGATCAAACTACAGCAACTTATGGCCCAATAAAAACCATTGTTACTGGGCTACCTGCTGCCACATCCTGGTTATTAATTGGTTCGTCTTCCTAATATAGAAAAATACAATGAAATTTCAACTTTAGGAAACGTATCCGACATTTTTAGTTGAGATGGAGCTTCAGATTCAGCTGTGTAACTCCTTGAGTAAAGACGTGTACTCATAAAGCGACAGATTGTGATGGATTCATTCACCATTTATAATTAAAAGTAACTTTTAAAGTTATTCCTCTCCTGCTCACACTGATCCTGAAGCTGTAGATATTTAATAAACTCAGAGGAAAAGAGTCCTACAAAGCGCTGGAAACAACAAACTTAAGCTCCGGTTAATGCTTTGTCAAAACCGGAATTATTATCATTAGTAGTAATAATATTAATAACAGTAATTATAACATGTAGCCCGTCTTCACTGCCTGCTAAGTTTTTACGAGCATTTCGCTGCGTAATTGATGTGAAACTGAGGAGCAAAGGGAACGAGGCAAATCTACCACACGTCAAAGATATGTTGTGATTTTTGAGGAGTCCGAACGCGTGCTAAACTCTTGCTAATTGTGTCTAAAACTTGCTGACGTATCAGATTTGGGGGCGGTTTTAACTACATTAAGAGCTAAATATACCGCTCTTGAACAAATAAGTCTTACTAAGGATTCTCGTAGAGTGATGCAGCATTTTAGCATTTTCATGAACACACGAGCAAGTGTGAGGAACAGATTAAAGATGGCGTCGTTAGCGTGTAGAGCTAACTAGCTTACGCCATCCAACAGTCATTTAGGCCATGAAACATGTCACGCTAAATTATTCTGTGGAGTTCCTTGTGTTTAAAAAGCCCTGTTAGACATCAGATGTGTTTGCTAACGCTAGCGGCTCTGTAGCATTCTGTATGCTAATTACAATCAGTCCATTGAGCCTCAGTCTTCTTAAATCCAACTTGTGCAGTCAAGAGAACGATTATCAAAACTGGTAGCTCCACCGTGAGCATTTTAGCATTTAGCCAGACCCAGTATGCACATGCTAGTATTTCAAATGAGCTTGATTTGACTTAGTTTGTCCCGTCGCTAAGTGGCGCGATAAACCGCTAACTATTATAGATGGTTTATTAAACCGATGCTGAGGTGAGACGTTCATTTTAACACATTATTGGTAATTTTTCACACTGTTCACAAACTGCAAAGTCTCCTTCACAGCATTTTCTTTTTTCCTTTAAGATGATTTATTTTGGGCTGCAAGGTGGAGCGGCGGTTAGCGCCGCTGCCTCGCAGCAAGAAGGTCGCCGGTTCGCTTCCCAGTGAGGACACCCAGGATCTTTCTGTGTGGAGTCTCCATGTTCTCCCTGTGCAGTGTGGGTTCTCTCCTGGTTCTCCGGCTTCCACAAGGTCTAAAATCATGCTGAGGTCTCCTGCCTTCGCCCTAAGTCAGCTGGGATAGACTCCAGCCCCCCACGACCCCAGTGAGGATTACGTGGTGTATAGATGATGGATGGATGATTGATTTTGGGGCAATTTTTTTTGGGCTTTATTTTGGAAGAGAGGCAGAAAAGGTGTTGAGAAGCGAGGAGGACTGACATGCAGCAAATCATGCCATAGGTCGGAACTGATCCAACAGTTTGAACGTGTGTCTTTTCCTAAATGTGTGCAGATGTCTTAAATCTGATATGAAAGTTTGCCCCCTTGTGGTCGCAGATAGGTTCTTCTTTCTCAAGCGGTTTCTCATTGAGTTCATGGTGTTCGTCCTGTTTTGAAGGGCACCAGAAATGCACTACTAAATACAAGACGTAAAAGTAAAAATGCCTGTCCTGATCCTGGAGAGCAGTGACGAGGAAGAGCTCATAAATACTGAAGCGTAGTTTAAAAGCGAGGAAAAATGTGTGCTTAAAAAAAGATGCCGGTTGTGGAAATGAAACCACAGATCCACTAAGACACCTTCCCGTGTTTGCTGAGGCGCTTACCTTCCTGTGCTTGAGCCCTCAGCTTCCAGGTGTCAGAGAGGAATGCATCCCGACATCACAGGAAGACAGACGGCGAGGGCAGACGGAGGCTTGTAGCGACCTGTAGGGCTGGTGATCCACAGGAGAGAGAAAAAAACGCTTCTCACTAAAGCCATTGTGGGTTTCTGGCTGACAGATTACAGTTCTACCAAACAATCAGGAGCTAATATCCATGCAACCAAAGACAAACATGCCAAGTGGAGTTTTTTTTTTAATGTTTAAACACTTGGGGTGTTTCCTCATACTGCCAAAAAAAAAAAAAGAGTGGCTGCCTTGTCATTTACAGCATCGTAAAAAAAAAAAACCCAGCGTGATCGGAAGGTGAGCTGAGGTGACAGTTTTATGTCTCTGCTGTCCGGGGAGGGCGAGACGAGGCGAGACGAGGTGATGACATCAGCCACTGAGAGGTAAGCTCAGCAGCGGAAGGAAAAGTTTATAACAGTGTCATGAAAGATTGGGAGCTGACGTTACTTTCCTTTCCCTGCCTCCAGGTATAATCCCAACGCCACGCTTTTGCAC